CTTTGATCGTTCATTTCTATCAATGTAACCCGCCACAAGCCACAGGCACTTGCACCGTTTCAATAATAAAAATGATGCGTTAATAATACACTTGTCAGTAGGCCTACTACTACAGTACCAGCCACATAGTCTTAATGTTTGATTTGACTTAAATAACTGCACTTCAACACCGCCTTCAATACACCGCCTGCAAACACATAGCCGCCCCCACGCCAATTGTGCATGGCCCACAATAACAGTAGATAGGAGGTTACCTATCTACTCGTGTATTTGTGGGGGGCATGCACAATGGCCGATGCGGGCTATCGTGTGTGCAGCGGATTAGATGAGTTATTGAACGGTTGTTGAAGTGAAGTTATCTTGAGGTCAAATCAAACCATTAAGAACTATTGGCTGGATACTGTAGTAGTAGGCCTACTGACAAGTTCGTATTTATTAACCATCATTTATTAATTGAAACGGTCAAGCTGCCTGTGGCCACACGCCTCACTTATCAAGCCATTCAGTGTTCAAATTTAGTGCTATGTATAGTAATGTATATATAATTCAGTACATGTATTAACAAAAAATTGGCACACTCATGGATTATAAATAACAATACAATTTATATGATGTTCCCCATCCCACAAATAAAATTAAGAGATACATTATATTACCGTAGTTTTCACAAATTCTGAAACCATGAAAATGGACTCTGGAGACATAAAAAAATGGCTCTGCGTAAATTGATAAAGTCAGAAAAATCGCTTCTGGTGAAAAAAAGTATTTTTACACTGGATTCACTACACGACAAGAGCCATTGCGCTGAGAAAGCAGATTCCAATCATAAAAATCAACGGCCCGCTACACCTCACGAGGCATGTCGCATTCAATTGTCATTCGCTGCTTCTTCAAGCCACCGAGCGTCAAGCTGCTGGTCAATTCGCAGAGCGGGAGCGTGTGGCATTTCCCGCTCCATCTCGTTGCCACGGGAGACAGCTTCGATGACGTCATAACGATGGAGGCTGCTGGACTCGCAACGGACATCGACAGTCAGCTTCTGTATTTGACCGAGTCAGACGATTGTAGCGTATTTGATAGTCCATATAATAAGATCTATATAAAATAATTCTGAGTAATATAATATCTCACCACATAATAATGATAACAGATATAAAACTTAATAGGTAGTGTATTCTTATGTGTCATATAACTTACAGTATATATGAATATAATATATATAGAGATGAGAAGAGAGAGAGGAGATTAGATAGATACATTGATTAATGGATTAAAAAGTGATTACCATGCAATGTAATTACTATATTAGCGGATATAGAAATAATGTTTTACTGATAAAATTATATTCCTACAATTAACGTCTCTTTCGGCATTTCTCGATCTCATGAAAATTACATTGACGAATTGACGGATGCTTTTGGCAGTAGCATCCAGCGATTCAGCGCCACCAGATGCTGGGGAAACACCACGCATGTGTTCTCGGTATCGCCCCTCTAGTGGATTCTCCTTCCATTAGCGATCTGGAAGAGCACCCAGATAGAGCTCGGGATTTACCCCGCGAGACGTACGACAGAAATATGAAGCTAATTAACTGTAGAGGTATGATGGACAGCCTAACATGAATAATGGTAAAGGAATTGCCTTTCGTGACACCGCAGATGACTTTTGTTAACAGTGAAAGGTCGCTGTTTTTTAGCCTCATCTGAACTAGTCAGATGCCAGCTTGTAGATCGCAATGATCAGTCCGTAGCGTCCGTAGCGTCCGTGCGTTAAAACAGTTGGGCACGAAATATTAACCGCTCGACGTCACGCGTCACGATACTTCGGGACCGTGGGGGGCGTAATCCGAATAACGAGTTGGGATGTCGAGCTTGGCGGGTCAAAGGTCAAAGAGTCAAGACGGTGTAAAAGAAGGGGAACATTCACTCCTTAACTTAAGGTATAGGGAGGGAAATGCAAGAATTGCGGGACACAAATCTAAAACGGCCCTCGACCTATGGCTCGTTGATAGTCGGTGTAATAGCATCAATTGGGTAGGAAAAGCCATCACTGCGGCCGGAAATTGGAGTCACAGCGCTCAAAAGGTCAATGGGCACAGGGCAATGTTTAGACATTCTTCTGAGGACATGCCGTCATGACGGATCGTTGAATAAACTTTTTTTGTTTCGGTGACCTAGCATTTTTATCGGCATTATTTGAAAGGACCATGAAATCTACTTTCTGCTGATTGCGAAGAGTACGTGTTCAGATAACCATCTTGACCCTCAAGAGGAGGCGTTAACATGGATTGTTGAACTGGTCTGCTCTAGAAAAGAATTGACTGCCGGTTTCGCTAGTAGAATCCTTAACATGCTGGATCATATGAGGCAGGGGGGGATTACAATTCACAGTGATGAAATTTCAAAAAGCTAAATTTGGTTACAAGAAGGTTTAATTGCTCCTTAAATCGTATAATTTAATATGCGCATTTCTGGTCACTTCCAGTATGTTACATGAGTAACGGTCAATGCCACTGCCAGTGGCTACTGCCCAGTGCTAATGTGTTGGTCGGCGTACTGTGAGAGTTATTTGCCTTAATTGGCTTACAGGTGGCAGCTCTCTATAGCGCAGCCTGTAGGCGCTGACGTACGCGTAAATGGAATGAGTGCTTACCATTCTTAGTCTTGCAGATAGTTAGTTGCCTTACTACGTATGATTGGCCGAGCTTCCATCTTTAATCGTAGAACACTTAACAGCTACGGAATCTCGTGGCAACTTTCATAACGATTCCCAACGAACATTCTTTGAGAGGTTCTCTGCATACACATCCTGTGGCATTCCAACTGTTTCGGCGTGAATTGGGAAACACATTCGGACTAACAGGCTTTAACTAAGAATCACCACCACTCCAACCATCAGAGTCACCGCATAGTAGACGTTAGTGAGCAGCTCGTCGCTCTGCGGCCAATTGTTTAGATTGCTTGATTGCGATCGTGCCGTACAAAAACTAAAACTAATTTCTGGAAGAAGTCGGCTTCTAATTATCACTCCTTATTCACGTTACCTAACACAACGCTAGATAGAAAACGAAACCCATTCACACTTATTTTATCTCTAATTTTTTACACTTAGCTGACAGAAAGTCCTGAACTTTTCAAGAACAAACATACGATTTTGGAAGGCGATACTGGCCCCCTTCCCCCGGGATCACGGGAAGTAACCTTACTCAACATACGTGAATGCTCGAAAGCTGTAACAGGTGTGTTATTAGTAGAGCGTCATCTACAGCTAGAGGTCATCTACAGCTACGATGGTCAGCTACAGCGACTGACAGCATGCAATGGTTCTACAAGGTCGTTGGTATGCTACCAGACTACTCTGCCCCACACGGAGAGTCGGAGTACAAGCGTTCACGCTGCCAGCCAAAGCAAAGCAGTAGAGCAGGTATGAAACATTACGTCCGCACCGGATGATATATCAGTTACTGAATTCATCTTTATTCTTTATTGGGGAATGTCAAAAAACGTGGGTGAATATATAAATATCAAGAGTCGGTATGATGAAAGGGATAGAAATTCTTCATGGAATTATAATCTATTAAATATAGCAATGGGCAGTATCTATATCTCGTCATTTATGTTTATCAGTAATTAAGATTTCAGCAGCTTTGGGCAGCTAATAGCTTTAGATTTGTTTGTTATGCATGGCAGGAGATGAGGAGAGAAAGAAGGACTACGTTAGACATAACTTAAAGATCCAAGCGACTGCAATGAGCTCCCCCTACAAACTATCGCCTTCTAGGACATTGATTGCGAAATAGAACATCTACTGTGTGTTATTAAGTTATGTACAGGAATAATATCTATCAGGCGTTTATCATATGCAAATGATGCAAGCACTGAGTTCTTTTGATATTATGAGCCCTTGATACATCTTTATATATATATATATATGATAGGTCTATATATATATTCACTAATTAATGTTCGTTTATATATTTCTGTTAGACATTATATATTGAATTAGCATGATAAGATACACAGGAAATGCATATTAAAATGTCTATACATGATGTAATTTTTATGAATAAACTAAAACAGAGATATCACAATCACATATAAACTCTTGTTTTTTTACAGTGTAATTAATGTGGTTGGCTTGGCTTATTTTACATATTAATTATATTGACTTGTTAACTTTATTCAATTTATAAATATAAGATAAGATAAGATAAGATAAG